GGAATTCTAAAAAAAGGGAAAATAATGGAATAGTGGGTGTCATAGAAGCTAGTTAAGTGGCATCATGGTATTACTGAGGGACAGAGGCCACACAACAGGTCTGCCCAGGGAAGTGTGTAATAAACATGAACAATATTTCAGTTACCTGAAGGATTTTTGTGGCTATAGTTAGTGAAACTTCTATATGAAGATGTGTACATTTATTGTTTCACTTCAGTCTTTTAATTGTTCAGTCTCTCTCTCTCTCTCTCTCTCTCTCTCTCTCTCTCTCTATATATATATATATATATATATACATATTTGTGTATATATGTATGTATACACACTTACACGAGAAAGAAAGATATACTGTGCAATTACAACCACAGGAAATACCTAATGATATTATAATAAATTATTATAATATTTATTATTATTAATTAAATACCTAGAAATACTTAATGACATCACAAAGAATGTGTCATGGCATTTATGTTTTTCCACAATCAAGAAATCTAATTTAAGTTGAATGTTAACAATAAAGTTATTCTTCCTAAAAATAGGTGGTTAACATTCTCCTCTACTTTTGCCTAACTAGAAGGACTGCACGTGGATGATAGATAACACTTGCAAAGACAAACAAGCACAGAGATGGGCTGAAGGCAGCATTCCAGAGATGAGGTAAAGTCAAAATCCTGAGTTTTGCAGAGTTTTGCTTGAAAGACAGCTTTTAAAATTACCCTCAATTGTTAGATAACTAAAATGGCAATTATTCTGCCGCAATTGGCTCATGCGCAAGGAATTCACTCATCGGTCTTAAGACATATCCTATCAACTGCAAGTGACTGGTCTAGCTTAAAGGTAGAAGGGCTTGCTGAGGTCTCAGTTGCAGTGTTCCTGAGATGTACCTTGAAAAGTTACAGATTACGAATGGAACATGTGATGCTTTCTCTTCCCCAGTCAGAATAGGTTAAGTCTAGGAATCAAGAATTAGAAGTAGAGTGCTTATGGCATGGATACAGATTTATGGGAATGACATAGGAAGGAGTCAACTATAGCAGTTATTAACTTATTGCTTCTCAGTTACAACCTTACTCTTATTTTCTCTGCTTGTGACAATGGAGTTATATCTGCACCTTGAATATGCCCTTTGCCAGCTGGCTTGGCATTCGGCTCTCCTGAAAAGACAGTGGAGGGACACAGGAGGGCTGGAAGAGGAGGGGGTTTTTTGCTCCTGTGTTCTGCTTTCCATGGAACACTGTCAGTGTGAAGAGAGCACAGCTGCAAATACTAGCTGTAGTGCACTCTGTGGTCCACTCAGCACCCCTGCAAGTTCGTCAACACACGGTGAACCACTTTTGTAGTTCAGCAGGAACATCCTTTAGCAAGTTTCTTGGTCACCAAAATAAGAAGATCTTCTCATGATTTCACAATGAGTGGATTCCACTGAGCTTCTTTATCTCTGCAGTGGTGACAAGTGCAGAGCACTTGTGCCGTGTCCTCTAAGATCTGAATCTCAGCCTTGCCAGCTACCATAGTTTGGATCTAGAATGTCTCCCAAAGTCCCATGTGTTAAAACCGTAGACCCCAGTTTGATCCTATTGGAAGGTGGTGGACACTTTAAGAGGTGGGGGCTGGTGTGACATGTAAAATTTTGTCACTAGAGGCTTGCTATTGAAAGGGACATTAAGATTCCAGCCACTTCTTTTCCCCCACTCTTTGCTTGTGAGTAGGGTATTTGGCATGAATTCACCGAATGCTAACGGAGGTAGTTTTAGGCATCAAACATAAGGCCTTCAGATAGATCTTCAATGCTCAGCATGATTAAAGTTTGATGATGAAGTTTAACAAAGACTAAAAAATGTGAACAAGTATGAAGTTTAACAAAGACTAAAAAATGTGAACAAGTAAATATTTGGACCACATCTCTGTATGATGGTTAGTTTGCTTGGTGTTAATCCACACAGCTTCTTGAGACTTTTTAGGGAAGCTTTAGAGAATGTTCTTCAACTGCTTTTGCTTTCTTTCATTAAGAGTTCAAGTTTAAAATGCCAGTAATGTACCAAATTAGGTGAGTTCATTTAGTTGACATCTACCCAATTTGCTTTTCTCTGGGAACTGATGGCTCTCACATACGACAAGGTTCTAAGTTTATTGCCTAATAGCCAGTTTGCTGATATATCAGTCCACCCCTTGGGCACAGGCCATTGGACTAAAATTGAATACTTGATTCCAATTGGGCAGCATTTATTAGCAGCAATTTAGATTTTCTCAGTAAGAGAGCCTACTCTTTGCTTTGCTGATCTCTAGCTACAAAATTTTGAAATCTTTCCATTTATTAAAACCAAATAAAATGGAGTTTTCTGACATACAACAGTGTGATTCTATGAAATTCATTCAAACATAGTCAATTTCCTTTTAGATGAACTTTTTCAGATAATTATGCATTCAAAGTGCTATCAGGATTTTATTTATGCAATTTCTCAGCACCTTTTATATGAAATATAATAAGCTAAACCTTATATTGAAAAAATACCTGTTATGTACACATAGACCCTGAAAAGTTCAGGGCAAACATTCTCCTCACTGGCATCCACTGATGCTGATTCTTATTCTGTGCTGGAAAGAGAGACACGGAGAGTGTATTTGCTTCTGTATTCAGTCCTTGATCACTGAGGAAGGTCCAAAAGAGTGCTTGTTAGCTCCAGTCAATTGAAATGCCAGCTCTCCTTTTGCCTGTGGTTGACGCAGCCTCCACTGTAGGCCACAGAGTAGCTGTTGTCTGCTGCGGCCACTGTCTATGTGTGGGCTCTTTACAAAGCTTTCTCCATCATCACCACCTCAGAACTGAATTCCCTTTGCTGAGGTTTCTTGTCTTTCTCTTAGTAAATATGTATTGAGCACCTACCCTCTGCAAGAAACTGTGTGTGCTCCTGAGAATATGGTAGTCATAAGACACACTCTAGTGAGCTAACAGCTAACAGCTCAGAGGATAGAAACATTAATCAAATATTTATTTATTTAAATGGATAAGCATATCAATTATATATATTTTTAGTGCACAATATGATGTTTTGAAATACACATACATTGTGGAACAACTAAATCAAGGTAATTGATATATGCATTACTTCATGTACTTATTATTAGTTTATTTATTTGTGACAAGAACACTTCAGAGTCTACTCTTGGCAATTTTCAAGTACAGTATGTAATGCATTGTTATTTACTATAGCGTCAAATGTTTAAGTCAGTTTATGCAACAAACTTAATACATATTTTATTTACTCTATCACTATTCTAGGTGCCAGTGATCACGCAGTGAAAGAAAAAAAAATGATCAAATGCTGGTTACCAAGAAGTTATCCTTCTAGTCACATAAAATCACAAACAATGATACAGGCAAGAAGAAAAATTACTGAGCACAATTGCAACATAATTGATCCTGAGCCCAAGAAGATCTCATGAATTATGACGTGTGAAATGAGACCTGCAGGGCAAGAAGGTGTTAACTAGGTCAAGAGATGAGCAGAAAAAAACCACATGAGCAAAGGACCTGAATTAATCCATAATTGTGGGAAATAATTCAAAAGTAATTAAAAGTACTAGCGGTTCATTCTAAATCCCTGACCAATTAAAATTAATTAAGTGACCAAGAAACTGGTTTCTCTTGGCACTTTTTTCAACATTAATTATGTTAAAACACAATTGCCATATTCAAAAATGAATATTCATTTGGGAATTCTGATCAAGGATAGGAAAATATGGATTATATTTAGTGTAAGTGCAGTGAAAACACTGCTTATGCAGCCATAATTATATAATATTTTCTGAGGCTCAAAATACAGTTAAATATTTTTGCATGTTAAATTCATGTAAAGAAAGAGAATTTTAAAAAATTCAAAAGAAAGGGAATATTTTTCTTGTCACTAGGTACACAGCACTAAAATGCTTTTTATTCATTTTTATGGTCCTATTACCATACATGTTCATTGTATACAATATGAAAAGTGGAAGAGATTATAAAAATGGAAATAGAAATTAGCAGTTACATGCCCACCAGAGTTTATATAACTTTTTTGTTTGATTTAAATTGTCTAATTAAAAATATCATATGTTCTATGTACAAATATCCTAAAATTGGATTGCCAAGATACAAAGCTTTGAAGTCACTGTATGTGTAGGTTCATTTTCTGTTGCCAATAACACAATATGACAAACTGGGTACATAATAAGGAAGAGAGGTTTCTTTATTAACTGATTTGCACCTGGTTCTGGTCCAAGGAGGGAGGCCACACTGAGAGATGCAGGCAGAGGCCCAGGTGGAACAGGGCACCACAAGCCCAGGGACAGGGAGTGCACAGGTGCCTCTCTGCCTCCTCTGATCTCTCTCCCTCTTATGAAGCCATCAGGATTCAAACATGGGGTCTCTGCCCTGGACCTTCCTAATTACCTCCCAAAGCTCCCACCTGTAGTTGGATTAGGCTCCCCTCCTAATTACTCACAAAGGGGATTAAATTTCAACACGTGTAACCTTGGGGCATGCGCTCAAGCCATATTCCCAACCACAGCAGTATCTTTATGTGTGTGCTTTTCCTATACATTTTATGGAAGAAAATAACAAAGTTGCCAGCTGTCTTTTTTTTCTGTCATTGTTGGATTTAAATGATGACTGAAGTTTAGAAAATCAGAAAATTACTTTCTAAAGTTGCAATTTTATTTTGTTGAAAACGTAAACATGCATGTGAGTCTTTATAAAATGAAATAAATTTTCTAGAATTCTGATTATTCTTGAGGATAAGACATAATATTAGCCTAATATAAAATATGAATATTGCATCTACTATAGATATGGGATTTAATAAAATTATCTGAATAATGAGAATATTAATAATATTTGGATTAAAATATATTTGATTTTTCTTTATTTATTATGTTCTAAGTTATTAATTTTCCATATTAATTTTACTACAGTAATTTGTTCTTCCATAATTACATTTTAAAAATTTTCTCCAAAACAGCACAAAAAGGAATATGAAAATACAGATGGCAATAATTTATGTGATCTCAACTAAAATTTTCAAGACAGTGATGCAGAGGATCACTTACTAAGTTAATCAACTTTCATAACATACTGAAGATCCTGCCTACAGGTAGGTTTATGACTTGGATATGGCTGATCATATTTTCCCACTTCTTTGTCTACAGGGATGGGTGCAGGTGATTGGTGTGTCAGTCAAACAATCTTGGTCATTATTATTACTACATGTATCGATGTGGAGTGAGAGGTTTTTTTTTTTTTTCTGTATAACTTTGAAGCTCAGAGCTTCTGTTGATAATTTTTTGTTTTCTTCTTTTCATTTCTTTTGCATGAAATAAATCTGGCAAACAATAAACACACTGCAAAAGATAGCAGAGCTGAGCAGGGAAGAATTGTATAGGAGATTCAAGACAACATTTAAGCACCTGGAGATGGCAGAATTTGAAGCCTGGACTTGACAATTCTGCAAGCATATAAAAATGTGTGTATGTATGTACTTATATTTAATCTAGTTTAGGTCACATTTCTCATAATTGAAACGTAGCTGAAAATATGCAAGAGGTGAGATCCATCATCTTTTTTTTTTTTAAATAAATGGGGATGGAACCCAGGTCCTTGTAAATGTTAAGTAAGCTCTCACTGTACTATAGAGCAACATCCCTACCCTAGATCTATACAATTGTGAAAGAACAGGTCATTTTTTTAATTTGCTCTTTTTATATATACATAAGAATGAATATATTTTGACATACATACATGGAGTATAACATATTCTATTAGAATCCCATTCTTGTGGTTGTACATGATGTGGTTTCACTTGTTGTGTATTCATATATAAACATAGGAAAGTTATATTTGATTCATTTACAGGTCATCTCTATAGTATTCAACTTCTTCGAGGACATAAAAAATCTTCTCATTCAATTGGATACCAAAACTTCTATAGTTTTTCCCAAACATGTACTGAAGTATAGACAAATTTCACCTACAAAAGTAGGTAGAAAGTATTAAAAGGCAAAAGTATTAAATATTAGTGAGTCCAATTAAACATTATCAGACTAATTTAATACTGCTTATGGATTTTTTCAATATTAGAAATACATATCAAAAGGAGGGGGAAGATGGCAGATTAGAGTGAGGCAGCATTTCCCCTATTTGCTATCAGAACTCAAGCAGTGTGAATATTGCTTCTCTCTGAGGCTTAGAGTGAAAATTCCTGACTGAAGGAGCCGTCTGCCTAGCTGAACCAGAGACTGTTCGACTCATTAAATGGATCAAAGAAACAGTCTCCCTGAGTTTATCAATTGTCCAGGGAAAGATGTTCCAGGAACTATCTTGGGACATACAGCACAGTGGGACCAACAGGAACTGGAGACTCAGATCCATGAGTTCTCAGCTAAGTCCGAGTAAACCTATCTGAGCCTAGTAAAGATTTAACTGATCCTAACAAAGCCATGGAAAATCAGAAAGACATTTTTTGGAGGGGAACACAAGTTGGAGAGGCTGAAGAGAACCTTGCTCTCCCCAACCCTGCGCCTTGCAGGTGTTAACAAGGCCTGCTACAGCAGGTCAGCAAGTAAGAAGGGTGTGTGTGAGGGCCACTTGGCTCTCAACTTGCCTGGCTGACCTGTTCTGGTGACCAATCTGGCATCCACTGGGTCCCTTGCATCTGCTGGGACTGGGAACAGTCTGGCACCCACCTGGGACCCCTGGCCCCCCAGCCCTCAGTCCCCTGACTCCTGGCCCCTGACCTGCACCACTCTACTTACTAGGTCTGCAGCTTTACCTCCAGCCCATCCCCAGCCTTCCAAGCCATCACTTTGCCACTGGGCTTGCCCAGCTCTGCCCACAGCTTCTCTGCTGGCCCGCAAGGCCCAACCCCCTGATTCATCTGGCCCAGGCCAGCTAGACCTGCTGTACATGGCTAGCTGCTTCTCCCACCCAGCCACAGCCCAGCCTGTCTGGCCCACCACTTCATAGCTGCCTCAGTAAGCTGCTTCAAAACCCAGCCCGCAGCGTGGCCTGCCTACACCAATCTCCCAAGAAGAGACGTTGGGAAGTCTTAAACCCCAACTGTCAACTTAGTAACACAATAAAAAGAAAGGACTTGACAGCTCATGGCCCATACTATCATGGTTAGTTCATACCTCAAAAAGAAATGAAAATCAGTTGGGCACAGAGAGAAAACACATATGTGCAATGACTATTTTGTCTACCATAGTGGAAATGACTCCTTAATTCTTAACCTTTTAGCCAAGATTTTTTTTTCTATATGTGGTTTTGGTATTTGAATGTGTACTGATTGATTGAAGGACTTCTGTGCATATACATATTTGTTTCCCCTCATTTCTAGCCTTTTTATTTGAGTGTGTTATTTTTGAAGGTTAGGATTTTGGATTAGCATGTTTTGATTCAATAAGGAAACTGAAGAAGAATCAGTTGGAAATCCTTGAAATGAAGGAATCAATAAATCAAATTAAAAAAAAAATCATTGAAAATAATCACCAGCAGACTAGAGAGAGTTTCAGGCAATGAAAACAAAATATATAATCTTGAAAATAAAGTTGAACACAAAGAAAAGATGCTAAGAGATCATGAACAGAACTTTAAAGAAATATGAGATGACATGAAAAGGCCAAATTTCAGATTTATTGGTATAAATGAATGCTCAGAGGTACAAACTAAAGGAATACACAATCTTTCACCAAAATAATATCAGAAATTTCCCCAAACATTAAGAATGAAAATCAAATACAGGAGGCATATAGGACTCCAAAAGTACAAAATTACAACAGACCAAAACCAAGGCGTTATTATGAAAATGCCAAATGTACAGAATAAGGTTGAATTTTAAAGGCTTCCAGAGAGAAATGACAGGTTACATTTAGAGGAAAAATATTCCGGAACTCACCTGATTTCTTAAATCATACCCTCAAAGATAAGAAATCTTGGAATAATATATACCAAGCTATGAAAGAAAATGAATGCCAACCAAGAATACTACACCCAGCAAAATTAAGCTTCAGAATTGAGGATGAAATAAAAACCTTCCATGATAAACAAAAGTAAAAAAGAATTCACAACTAGAAAAACTGCACTACAAAACTTACTCAATAAAATATTTCCTGAGGAAGAAATGGAAAACAAAAGGGAACACCAGCAAAGGGAGGAACTACACTAAAAGGACAGTAAACCAATGGAGAAAGAAATTCAAATAAAAAAATAGGAAATCACTCAAAATGATAAGAAATAAAAATCATGTAAAAATGTAAATGGCCTAAACTAATCAATCAAAAGACATAAACTGGCAGATTGGATTATAAAATAAGGTCCAATAATACTCTGTCTCCAAGAGACTCACCACATAGAGAAAGTCATCCACAAACTAAAGGTGAAGGGATGGGAAAAATACATATCATTCACATGGATTTCATAAATAAGCAGGGGTTTCTATCCTCATATCAGACAAAGTGGACTTCAAGCCAAAGTTAATCAAAAGGGACCAAGAAGGACATTTCATACTGCTTAAGGGAATTATACATCAACAAGACATCACAATCTTAAATATTTATGCTGCAAACAATGGAGCATCTACATATATCAAATGCTTGGCATTGAACATAGGGCTTTGTGCATGCAAGGCAAGCACTCTACCAACTGAGATATATCCCCAGCCCAATTTCAAGAATCAAAAAACTCAAAACACAATGATACTGGGTGACTTTAATATGTTTCTCTTTACACCAGTAAAATAAAAAAAATACTATGAAGACATTTACCAGTTTCTAGAGATATAATGCCTACCCAAATGAAACCAAGAGGACATAGAAAATTTTGAATCAAGAGGACAAGCAATGAAATTGAGGATGCCAACCAAAGCCTACCAACAAAGAAAAGCCCAGGACCAGATGGATTCTTAGCTGAGTTCCACCAGACTTTCATAGAAGAACTTATCCCACACTCCTCAATTTTTCCATGAAATAGAAAAGAGGAAACCTTTTCCAGACTCATTCTGTGAAGCTACTATCACCCTGATACCAAAACCAGATAAAGACAAAAAAAGGAAAGGAAACTTCAGACCAATATCCCTGATGAACATTTATACAAAAAATTCTTAATTAAACTACTGCCAAATCATATACAAAACAAATTAAAGGTAATGCATTATGACCAATGAGGTTCATCCCAGGGATGCAATGTTGATTCAACATATGGAAATCAATAAATGTAATTCATCACATAATAGACTTAAAGATAAGAATCACATTATTATTTCAATAGATGCAGAAAAAGCATTTGACAAAATCCAGCATCCATTTATGCTCAACACACTAGAAAAACTAGGGATAGTAGGAACATACCTCAATATTGTAAAAGCTATATATGTTAAACCCAAGGCCAACATCATTCTAAGTGGAGAATAGTTGAAAACATTCCCTCTAAAAACTGGAACAAGACAGAGATGCCCGATTTCACCACATCTGTTCAATATAGTCCTTGAAAACCCAGCCAGAGCAATTAGAAAAAAATTTAAAGGACATGAATAGGAAAAGAAGAGTTGAAACTATATTTGCTGACAACATGATTCTATATTTAGAAGACTCAAAACGTCCACCAGAAAGCTTCTAAAACTTATAAACAAATTCAGCAAAGTAGCAGGACATAAAATTAACACCCATACATCAGCTGGATTTCTATCCACCAATGATGAGTCATCTGAAAGAGAAATTAGAAAAACTATTTCATTCACAATAGCAAAAAAAAAAATGCTTGGGAATCAATCTAACAAAAGAAGTGAAAGACCTCTCTACAATGAAAAAAAAAAAAGAGAGAGAGAGATTGAACAAAACCTTAGAAGATAGATCTCTCATGTTCCAGGATAGACAGAATTAATATTGTAAAAATGGCAATATTATCAAAAGTACTCTACACATTTAATGCAATTCCTATTAAAATTCCGATGACTTTCTTTATATGAATAGAAAAAGCAATCATTAAGTTCATTTGGAAAAGCAAGAGGCCCAGAATAGCCAAAGCAATCCTCAGCAAGAAAAGTGAAATAGGAGGCATCACAACACCAGACCTTAAATTGTACTAGAGAGCTATAGTAGCAAAGACAGCATGGTATTAGCACCAAAACCTACATGAAGGCCAGTGGTGCAAGATAGAAGACACCGAGACAAACCCACATAAATACAGTTATCCCATCCTAGACAAAGGCACCATAAACATACATTGTTGAAAATACAGCCTCAGTAACAAATGGTGCTGGGAAAATTGGAAATCTATATGTAGCAAAATGAAATTAAACTGCTCTCACCCTGCACAACACTCCACTCAAATTAGTCCAGGACATAGGCATTAAACCAGAGATGCGGCACCTACTAGAAGAAAAAGTAGGACCAAATCTATCATGTTGGCTTAGGAACTGACTTCCTCAACAAAACTTCTAAAGCACAAGAAGTAAATATCTAAAAATAACAAA